TTCCAGGCGAATTATATATTCGCGAGAAAAGTGAATCGCTGATGTTGTCACGAAAGTTGTCCATTTTTTTATTCGAGAAACGGTACTATATGAAAATATAATATAATATTATTATATAATTGTTTCTACGATTAATGACACGAGGAAAAATTGCGTGAATTTTCACTCACGTGTGATATTCTCGATTATCTAAAGATTTATTGATATGATTATTTATATGTCAAGTATTTTTAGTTCCAAAGTTTACTTGGTGTTTTACGATTTTTCTGTCTTTTGAGACCATTCAGTTTTAATGCCAGTACCTCTCTTTTTTCTACCGAGCTTGAGCGTTTCACATTTAATTTTTCGTAGACGTAGGTTACAAATACCGCGGTAAAAACCGCAGAACATTTACGTTTTATACAAACGATTCGCTGATCCTTTTTGTCCCGTCCTTTTTGTACGGTTTTTTCGTATTGGCTGTTATATTTATATAGATATGTATATATGCTATAAACGGAAAAAAGTGGCGAAAATAAGAAAAGTGAGAAAGATTGTTGTTTAAATAATCTTTCTCATCTCTTTGCAAATTCTTTTCGCGAATTATAATTTTGATGTTTTTGCATTTCGCAAATTTGCGTTGCCAAATTCTTGTCACGCGATATCGAATGCAAGCACAAATATTGAGAAGAATAACGGTATTTAAAAATTTAAATTCTTCAAAAATATTTACACTATCTCTTTATTTTAATTGAATTATTTTTAACTCTCGGAATCGAACTCTTTTTATCGTCTTTTCAATTTTTCAAATATTTTATTGTAATACATATTTTAATATTTAAAAAATTAACGGTTATTAAATTATATTTAAACATGATAAGATATAAAAATAATTAACAAACAACAAGGGTAAAGCTAACTCAACTAAATCAAAGAAAGAGCTTAAATCATGCATATTCTATATAAAATCTTACTATATCAAAACGTACAAATACCTTTTGTTTGATAAGAATTCTATGGCTTGTGTGCTAGCTTTGTCGAATTTCTTCAAGAATAAGGAGCTTAACTCTCACAAACGCGGATGTATCCAGATTTTTCCGAGCTTTTTTCTCGATGAGAAGCTTTACCCGCGGGTCATTCATGACGCATTGTGTCTAAATCATATTTAAACAAGGCTCGTACACTTTAATAAAAAACGATTGATGAATCGCATATGCGTGATTTAAAAAAAAAACAAATTTATTGGACTAAATTTGTCATATATGATTGAAGTCTCTAAAATTCTTAACTAAGTTTATTTTTGAAAAATTCCTTTCTATTTTGCGAATAATCGAGTGAAAACAATAGATCGAGGAAAAGAAAAAGAGACAAAGACGAAAAGGGACAAGTTTTTCACGAGAGGTGCGACGAAACGGCCACCGCGCGAGACACAATTTTCGCGCGCTGAAACATCTCGCTGAAATACTCGCATGTCGCGCGCAACGAATTTCGGACGTGCGTTCGATGGGTCGCGGTGCGTCAGTTAAGTGGATCAAAGCTCGATCGAACGTCCGCGCTCGATCGGGGAGTCGCCGCGAATCGCTTTCATCATCCATTCACGTCGCGAACCCGCGCAGACTCATAAATACCGCACGACTGCGCGTGTGACGGCCGTGTGCGATCTCGCGTGCAGACAGCGTGACGTAAATACCTGCCTGCATTCTGCGCGATACAGAAAATCATGCGAGAAAAAAATCTGGTTGCATTAATTAGAAACATGGTAGATTCAAGTATGTCTGTTGGAAAATGGACGAATCAGAATTTCTTGAAGAATTGCCAGACGATACGATCAATTTCTTCCTGTTAAATTTATCAAATCTTTTTGATAATATTAAATTTAAAAAAATGGCATTGTATCTGTTTCCAGAAATTCTTTTTTTTATTTCTTTTGTTTAATCAAAATGTCTTCAATCATACGTCTTGTTGGTAACGATCAATCAAATGATTTTCGTCAGTGTACAGCCTGGAGATGGCCAATTTCCCGATGCATTTTTTTAATGCAAAGAAACTTTTTTATCTCAAGTTCTTTTCGCATTTTTTTGGATCTCTCATTCTCGACTTTGCTCTTTTTTAATTCCGCATATTTAATACACACATGTGTGCTCTATAAAAAAGCCAAGAAAGATGCGAAGGGAATATTTAAAGAAACTTTTGCTTCGCTTTATAATTCGCCGGACAATTTTTTTCGCCGGGTGAAAAATTTGCGCCGCCTTTCTCGATTAATCAGTTTTAGTTTTCCGTTATTTTTCTCTATCGTTTAATCCATCTGGGAATCTACTCTGCGAAGAAAGTCCTTTAGAATCCCATCGCGCGAGAGAGAGTCATTTAATGCTCTGCTTTAGTGCGCGAGCTTAGTGGTTTCACGGGCAAGCGCGGAGTGCGGGTTTATCGATTTCTCTCTCGCGCGCACAGCAACATGAACATTTTCATCGCCGTCGGTATCATCTTTCGCGATATATAGTGGCTGCATTACGGCGTTATAATTACGAGCGCTATTTTACGACGCTTTCGCCGATACGGAACAACGCCCCGCGCGCGCGCGCGCGCTTTACGCGTTGCGTACATGTTATATAGTACACGCACGGGATACGTCGGGCACACGTGGAGTGCTACTCAACGATGGCGGGGGTGGCTGACTGACAGGCTGACTGACTGGAGAGACCGGATGAGGTTGCGCGAGGTCAGGGCGGATGAGAAGTCCCTGACCTGGTCACCGTCTGTCTCTCTCTCTCTCTTTTTCTTTCTCTCTTGTTTTCTTGCATTTACGTTACCGCAAGTTTTATGAGAGAAATAACGCTTTGGGATCTAATGAATGCGACAGGATGTTCTTGCTTATCGAGGAGTAGGTTCTTCTTGTTATAGAACGAAGGATCGATATTTCAAGAAATATATTGTCAATTTATATTTTTAATTAACGTAACAATTTTTAACAACATATCTCGTTTCAGATTGCAATTAATTTTCTAACACGATGAGTCCCTCTTATCGCGCTTCATAAATAAAACACAAAGTAGGAGTTATTACGCGACGCAAAGTTAGCAGGCCGATCTGTTCATCGCGTCTCTATAATCAGCACTCTCCCGGCGCTCCCATTGTCCCCGACATCGTCGATGTCCCATTATTCTCCAAGTATGCGCAAGAATGTCGCGCGCTGCTGCCTCCCGAAACCCCGACCCGAGCGCATTCGCGTCAAGAAGGGCGCGCACTTTCGTTACAACCGCGCGAAAAAATCTTTCTAACAAGCGAACGTGATTTATAGCGGCGCTCATTAATCACGTTAAGTCCCACGTCTTCTCCCGCGCGCGAGACCTTTTTAAACCGCGATTCGATCCCATTGTCCTCAACGGACAAGGACGGACGAAACGCGGTTGCTCGCCAAGAGAAAGAGAGAGAGAGAGGGAGAGCTCCGGAACAGAACAGGCGGCTGTGTTATTGCGCGCGTACAACAACGTGATTCATATTAACGCGCGCGCGCTATACGCTAAATTACCAGTCGAACACTGTGTGTCGTAAACTCGGCAGCCGCCTGTTCCTCGGAGCATTAATTTTTGCTAATTGCCCGTGCAATCAGCGCGCGAACCGGAGAACGAACGTGCATATACGTTTATATGTTTATGTTACATATATGCGGTGAAACTCAACACACGACGAGGGTGTCGAGAGTCGCAGACTGCATCGGCGACCGCGGTTTCGATCGCTGCGTCTCGCTTCTGATCTTTGTTTGATAAATGGCGGGCGAGTTTACGAAGCGCCGCACCGTGGCATGATTGATTCGTACATGTATATATCGTCGCCACCCTTATGTCACCCCTCGACCCCGTTGACTTTCCTCGCGTTTCCCGTTCCATTTGGGCGCGTTTTACCATTTAAGCGTGCGGCTTGTCATCGCGATCTCCCGGCGAAATGAATTTCTCTCGGTGGGAAGGTTTAAGCAGCAATTAGCAGCTCTGTGTGAGATTCGTTAAGTTAATTGAGAATCTCAACGTGATCCTTTAATTAAAAATGCGGTAATTGGTAATATAACTCGCCGAAGAATCTGACGTTAAGATATGACTCGGCCAGAAATCTAGATTACGTAAAAATACATTTAAATTCTCGAGTGCTTACGTTGGATAAATTGGCAGTTTTTTTTTCATTGCGTTCTTTTTTTTTTTAATATAAAGAAGATTAGTTTCATATACATGCGATCCTGAATTATTATAAATGCTCTTGAGGATGTCAAGTTGAGTGAACCAGAGATAACAATTAACGCATTTATGTTCTTCTCCACGTAAAGTACTTGGAAATTATTTCTAAATTCGGAAATATACATGGACGAACAAGAATTCTTGTAGGAATTATCAGATGATTAATTTCTTCCTGTTAAATTTACCAAATTTTCTGGTTAATAACACTAAACTCATTAGCACCAAGTCGTCTAAAATTTTGTCCATCTAATCTCAAAAGTCTGTTTAATATTCTGAATTCCAACAAGATTATTGGATAAATTCAATCCAGATTATCGAATAAATTATTTTAAATTCAGTTTGTTAGAAATTAAACTGATAAACAGTGATGCAAGAAGAGGATGCAATTCAAACACACAGAGAGCTAGCGTCCTCTTTCTGGCACTACTGCTCGTAAGAGAAAAAAAATATACTTTGGATTTAATGTTAATATTAGTTTTTTATATATATTTCATGGCAAATATTGAATACGAGTTAAGTTAAGAGTGGCAAGCAAAGAAATTCAAGTAACAAGAAATTTTATAGATCCAACCAGAAAACACTAACCAAATCCTTATAGTAAAATCTATTAAACGTTCTAGTTATAAAAAATTCTTTCTAGTTATAAAAAATCGAGTCTTATCACGATAACTCATGAAATTCTTGTTTGGTTTAATCAAAATGCCTTCAATCGTATACGATTTTTCTCAGTGTGCTGCAGAGAAATTACAATAAATTTCGCTCGCATTGCTAATGTCTCTTTATTCCTCTTTTCAGGCTGATCCCGATCCGCAAATCCAGTCTAAATTGGGCAACTATCATCTAGTGAAGCATCTGCTGGACGAGCCTAAACGATTGATCGGCATCGACGGAATTCCGCCGAGCCCGGCTCCCTCGCCGACACCCTCCCCCCACAAGTCCGGCACCGGCGGCAGGAACTGTTCCCCGTCCTCGGGGCAGGAGTTTAAGAAACCCGGCGGACTCAGGGGCTCGAGCGCCTCCTCGTCTTCCTCCTCGGTCGGCGGCTCGTCGGCCGCGAGCCACCAGCAACGGGGTGGCTTCGTCAAGCCCGCCGATGGCAAGCCGCCCTACGGCGGCCGGGGTGGCTATCCCGGTCAGCCGGTCAAGCACGGCGGCGGCAGTAACGATCATCGCAACCACGGCTTACTTCCGGCCAAGGGACCGCCCCCGCCGCACGTCCCGCCCGCTCTCGTAGGGAGCAATGGCTCTTTGCCGGTCGGAGGCAATTCCGGCGGGAGCGTCGCCGGTGGCAATTTCGGCGGCGGTCTCGCGAGCCGTACTCAATTCGCCGGCCGGCTGAAGCTGATCGATGTTAACGTGAGTATCGACTTTTTGCATTTCCCTCCCCTTCTTTCTCCCTCCCTCTTACCCTCTTCGCGCGCGATGATTGCCGATACGTCGTTCGTTTAACGATCGTTTCCAACGAACACGATCTGCGTGCGCGATGATTGTCCGTCCCTCCAGAGAAATGGACGATGTAATGGCCTTCCGGAGGTAACGGTTTGATCGTTTCGCTTCGAGCGGAGATTGTTTACACGCGAGGTTTTTCGGAAATCGCCCGTTTCCTGTGATATAAATATCATAGGAATAAATAAACGATAGAGAGATATTGATTAATAATTGACATGTCGAGAAGAAAAGTTCTAATGTCGATAGAAATTGTGTTACATAAAAGTCACAGACGAATATTACAGAGATTACGAAAAAGGAGAAATATATCACAAAATTAATCAATATGAAAATTTAAGTACATAACGACAAAATAAGAAAAGGACCTTTTTTATATATTTATTTATTTTAAATGAAAAATTTCAAATTTTTAATTCTCCCTCTATTTAAACAATTATTTTTTTGTTATAATTTTTTTGTTTTCGGTTATTTCATTGTTAGTATAATAAAAATAATTACAAATATTGAATCGTGCGCACGCAAGCATTTTAATAAAAAGTACGTGAATATAGAGCTTTTTATACGTAATTTTTAGGATATCTGATATCGTCGAGAAGCGAGAAGATTAATCTGAAAGCATTCCGTTATGGTATCGAAAAATAATCAATCACGCGACAATTTCCATAATTGATACGTTCGACGCTAAAAAGGAACGAAATACTGCTGTGAACACGACTCTAAGTAAGCTGTTTCAAATAATTTGCATTATTTTAGATTCTGTGCGTTTCTTTACTTTGTCAGCTTTTAACATTATATATATGATGAGAAATCCATGTAAATTTTTGCGGAGACAGTATTTTCGAAATTAATTGTTTGTGCGTGTAACACGTTCCCATTTAGGTGAGAAACATACGTTGTGAGTCATTTTATTTAGAAGATTAAAATTTGCGAATTTTAGAATTTTAGAATTTGTCGCTTCCCAATAGCATCGATTTTCCGTTTAATGCACTATCAATAGACATATTAGCGGCCTTTCGATAAGTACACGAGTGCCACCGCGGTGACGTTGCCAGACTCACAAAGTCTCGAACAACTTTAATAGCGTGTCTCGCCGGAGTTGTGATTATTTGTCACGTAAGAAGATTAAGAGCGAAGTTTCAAGTCGACGCTATTGTCGCACGTTACTAAACGAGACACTGTCGAAATTAACAAGTTGCTAAGAATCATTATGTTATCGTTAATCTAGCTTCATATTATTTTCCATCTTACATAAGAAGTTTTCTATAATATTAACACCAAGAATATTAAATCAATTGAAGCTAAACTTCAATTTATTTAATAGGTAGAAGAACTTTTAATTTTGATATCATTCGTGTACAAAACAATTCGAATCATTTCGAAATTTTAACTAATCAACATCGAATACAAATCGAGGAGATAATAGTAATTTTATTAATATTTTTGCGAAAATTTTTTTTTAAATTTAACTGCGAAATATTATTGTATTGAATACACGAAAGTTACGTTTTTTTTTTTTTTTTTTTTTCTTCTAAAAATACGTCTAAAAATTAACACGGTACTTGGAATTATTCGCTTTACATCAAAATCTTAAATTATCAATCACTCTTCGACATGTTGAGCGCAATTCATCATCTTCGCGTTCAAACGAGTGAATCACGAGATGCTCCTTTCCTTCCTGACCACAAATCGCAGGAGAAAGATCAAGTAGCTATGGCATTAATCACCGAGGAGCTATAATAAAGAGGTTATCTTTCCTTCCCCTTCTCCTTTCTTCTCTTCCCCTCCTTCACATTGAATCTCCACTCCGGGATCATCTAGTGAGGTATCAAACGAAACCAGTTGGCTCGACAGGCTCGTTGACAGAGAATGAATTGCTTTTCAATGGAAATCCACCTGAGGCGGGGGAGGTCCAGATGGGGAGGAGGGGCAAGTTTCGAGACGGCAGGTCCTATTACGCGTGGCTTCTCGAGGTGCAAATTTCATTGAGATTGACTATCGATCGTGTCTCCTTCTTTGACCCTTCGTCTTCTCTCCCCTTCCGCTCACACGTTGCCATCGACGAGACGATCAGAGTGCCTTTCTTTCCACGGGTGTACTTATACAATTAGAACCGGCTAGGTTCTGAGTGCATCTCATCCCTCTTCTTTCTTTCGCATTCTTCTGGAAAATTGATTCCCGTTTGTACCACGTAATCGTCCCTCTAATAGTTCTTACTCTGTTTTGAGCCAGCATCTCTCTTCTCTCTATCCCTTTCTTTGACAATGGCGAGTCGCTCGCTGCTGAGTCGTTGACCATTCGTTCTCATCCGCGAAATTGGTTCGGAATTACGCGTGAAGAAGATGAAAGAGGAGGGATGGGCACGTGGTTGACAACGAGGGGATAAATTCGTACACCAAGTATAGTTGGCGTTACGTTGTTAATGAAAGCGATATATATCCCAGATTTTTCTCTTTAATGCCATCTTTTCCTTCGATTCCTTTATCTTCCATTGTCGTTTCTTATTTCGATTTTTCTCTATTTTTTTCATCTCGTCGTAATTAATATATCAATATCCTCATTTTATTATATATTTCAAAGAAGTAAACTTTGTTTTTATGCTCTTGTCAAAAATATTTTACATATTTTACATATTTTTATAATATGCGTTTAAGTATAACTTAAAGATGAACACGACAAGATTAAGATTCAACTCTGACAATAGAGTTAAATAAAATTTGTTGGAATCCAATATAATAATAATTCGTTGTAGGTTTGTTACAGCTATGTTTCTCCCTCCTCTCTCTCGGCTTCCGCTCTCTCCACTTTTCCCATTTTCCGCTCATTCCTTTCCCGTGATTATCCAGTCTCGTCCGCCTCCGTTTTTCACCCCGTTCTCCGAGACGCGGTGTCCTCCGGCTAAAAGTTACTAGACACTCTCAACCCTCGTATTCCATGCCCCCTCCCTCTTTTCATCCGTCGTTTCAGCCATCTCACGCATTCGCTATTGTTCCTGCGTTTTCTTTCTGGGAATGACTACTCGCCGTTATTCGTAATACCACCCTTTAGAATGTGTCCTCCCACTCGTCTCACTCCCAGTCCGCACCCTTTTCAATGCCTTCTCTCCATTTCCGTCCCGACGTTGTTGATTAATGATCGCTCGAGGAGGCTCGTGATAAATCGCGGAGAAATCTCGCGAGAAGAGCGAATTCTCCTCTGTGTAAATTAGCTCTGAAAATGCGTACGAGATATAGTTTGAATTTGCTCTTCGCGCGCGAGAAGAGATTAGTTCGATTTACGAATCGACGAAATGAATTTTGTTTAACTTTACATTTGAGCAATAATTTTTTCATATAATTTTATCTTTTAAATACTTCCTTCCGTATGCTTAAATCATATTAATATATTTTTTTTATAATAATATATATGATATAAAGATGGATAAATTACGTGATATAATTACAAAAGTAATCTTTTCAATCTTTTTTTTACAGGGATCGAATTCGCGATCATCAATTGACAGTACAGATGTGGAGAATATTCTGAAGGTAAGTTTTTTAGAAAAAAAACACAAATCTTTTATTTACATAATTATTACAGCAGGGCTTTAAATAACTAGTACATAATTAAATTTTTTCTCTCGCATAAAACATTAAAAAGTCGCATAAATGAGAACATGAGAAAAATCGATTTAAAATTCTATAAAATTTTGCGAAATAAAATACAACTTGTTCCGAACATTGATTGAAGAAGCAGCTCCTATGTATTTCACGCGGATAAACACAGGATTGAACATTACGAGATGTAAGAGCCAAGCTATCCAATGTCGAATTCCCTTTCTCGATGGGAGGTTCATGCTCGATCAATAAGTCAATCTTCTCGCCGATACAGGACTATCTTGTATCGAATCGATTTACCATTCTTCGTTCACCTCCGGCGCGTCCGATCTTCGACGGCGATATTATGTCACGCCTTCGTGAGATAAACGTTCTCGATTTCCCGTTAATCGAAACTCCACGAGAAGTGATGTACAACTTTCTCCCGGGCAGCAGTTGTCGCGATTTTCGAAGACGAAAATATAGATTTTGTATTTATACGCGAACAAATTTATCTCTCACTCTCGGAATAAGGAGAGTTTATATCCTCTTTTTACGGGGGGGATTAAGCGGAGAAAGACGCGACGAGATTTCTCGATGAGGGTATCTCCCGTGCGGAAAGATTGTGTTTGCCTTTTTTTTGTCGGTAGAATCTACGTTCGACTTCTGTCGATTTCCAACTAAAAGCACCAGCAGTCTCTCTTGGTACTCTCCGTTAATCTAGAAATTAAGAAAGGAGATTGCATTTATCTTACTTGCCAGTGATTTTTCCGCTCTTACTCGCCAAGTTTTTCTCCGCGTTTCCTGCAAAAGTTCTTCTGAGCGAAAAGTGCGATGAAAGCACCGTTATCATCGTTCGTGGTTTACCGAGAGATCACTCTTGAATTTCTTTAAGTTTCTTATTAATTAATGTTGATACGGTTAAACGTACTGTCTGTTGTTTCGTTATTTTATAGAATTTTTAATCGATTTTTCTCATGTTTTCATTTATGTGACTTTTTAATATTTTAATTATTAGTCGAGAAACTCGTGGAAAATTTCAAATTATTAAAAAAATGTCATGAAAATTTCAATGCTTGAATGAAACCTTTATGTTCGATGGAAGCTGCTTTACTGTCTCTTATGCGCTTCAATGGCTTGTTAATAGAAAATTCATTAAAGCATCTCCACGTGGGACTTTCCCAGGCAGCCTTGTCACATCCGTGAAAAGTTACTTGGCAGTAGAGATATATGATCTATAGTTATAATTATTTATTGCATTATTTTCATGCATAAGATGTACTAGCACGCATGTTAGCCATCCAAATGCTTTGAATATTAATCTCAAAATATTCTACATAAACATTTTTTAAATACAAGTGTTAATATTATTATAATTGCCGTCTTATTTTCTAAAATGCACAAAATATTTATATACATTTTACGTACATTTATTTTTCTTTATTAATTCCTGTTTTTATAAAATATACGAGAAGGAATATAACAGGTGATATAACATTTTAATTAGTAAAGAAAATAAAATGTTTCGTACTTTTCTAAACAGTTCCTTATTTTTTACCGTAAAACACAAGTAAATAACTACTGTTATTCACGCTCAAATGATACGATTATGACAATCGCCTCACGCGAGATCGTAAATACTTTCCTAAACGCCCAGCGGCAAAAACGGCAGTCGCGCGGAAAGCAGCATGGCTGTTTACGCGCTGTGAGAAACGGAATTACGGTGGTAAAGAACGCGTCTTCTCGCCGAGAGAGCTCCGGACTGCGCTCTGACAATAGGAATGCGCATCTTCCTCGCTTGTTGCCGCATCGTGGAAAGCCTCTTGTACGTATTCATTCGCGATACTATCGGCGGGGCAAGACACGCGAACTTGGATTACTTCCTCGAAGTAGGAAGGAGACGATAAGAGAACAAGCGGACTCTTTGGGCCGCGCGAATTGTTCAGAAAAAAATCCGAATTTAATACCGAGCTATAATTTTGGATAAAATTAATTGTCATTTTCAATATCAAATTATTTCATATTTATTTTATATTTATATTTTATATTTATTTTATAATTATTTTATATTTTTTCTAAATTATATTAATTTTTTCTTTGTGATTTTTATTATTCGAATTATTTCTTGGCATTTAATTATGCAGTGTTTAATTTAAAAAAACATTTAAATCGGCAGTCACATTATTCTTTTTAAGGATGTTTTGTATGTACAATCCCAGCAAAAAGTAGCCGAAAATCAATATTGACGAATATATCCACTTTGGTGTATTTTGAGTAAGAAATTGTATGGAATATTACAATTTGATCTTATTGATATTATTTCCATGTGTTTTTGTCATTTGAATCGACATGGTTATAAGTTTCCCATAAGAACACATGTTTCGGTGCAAATTAAAATCCTTATAACTTGTGAACGCTTTAGTGAATCGATTTCAAAATTGTACCGAAGATTCTAAACATATGTAAGGACATTCTGTACAATTTTCCTTAAATTCTCAATATTTTGAAAATAGGTACAAAACATCCTTAAAATGTGCGAATAATAATTATATTATAAAAGTGCACGTTTTTATGATATTAATTATATAAATTATATAATTATATAAAATTATATAAAATTATAGGATTATATAAAATTATAGGATTATATAAAATGATAGGCGATACGTATACTTTAGATCAACGAATACAGTCGACCGACTAGATTATCCGGGATAAGTAATTACGGTCGTAAATGCAATTCAGTGGCGGAAGGGTAAACGTTTCAGAACGACACGTAAATTTATGACGCTATTCGCGCGCGCGGCGCACGTGCGCGCGACGAGGGACACCCACGTTTTACGTGAAATTTCCACGAGTGTGGAAACGGTAAACGGACGGGAGGAGCGACGGGTCCTCTCCGACGTTCTCTCGGCGTGTCCGACGCCGCAATGATTTACGCCATCGTTGCCGGCCGATTGTCATGTCGTTTTTCCAACGACACATGACATTGTCCCCGCGACATCGAGCCGAAAATAGTCAGCTCGCGCGGATTCTAATCCTTTGATTACCGACGAATCCTAGGGGTAATTCTCGACATTTCTCTCTCTCTCTCTGTTTCTCCTTCCTTCTTTTTGCCCCTCTGTGCCGTTCTCTGGATTCGACATCCGAGTATATAACGGGATTTTAGCAGTCTACTGCGCTACCACTGGGGTTGCTGGAGGATCAGCAAAACGAGTTAGGGGTCGATGGGATCGTATGCTAATTTATGGATATGGTTTAATGGCGATTACGGGCTCCGATAACACCACCGAACCCCAGCAGCAGTCGTAACGTTGTGACAGTATCAATTCCACCGCCGCGTCGCCAGATTGACATCGTTCCGACACCTTGCTCGCGAGGTGATTGATACTTTCGTTTCACGCGACTCGCGTGAAAGCACGGGGATCGAATTTTCCTTCGCGAAAGAAATTTCAATTCGAGTTAAAATCTCCGAAGAAAGAGAGGAAAGTTGTTCGATGATTTGGCCAAAATAATTCGAAGCTTAAGTCTTTATGATAATTTTACTGAACGAAAATTTTCCTTAAATCCTACAACAATTGTCAAGATATTTCGCGTTAAAAATTCACGAAAGAATGTTCCAATTTCCAAGTACAACGCAGAGGAGCAAACAAAGGAAGGAGAGAGAAAACGCAATATTAATTCTTTTAAAGAAAGAGTGACCGTACTATTAAAAAGAAGTTGCCACTGCGAATCCTTTCCCTTCTCGTCTCATTTGTTTAACGAGGCAGGCTCGTATACAGCGAGGCGCCTCGCCCTCGGGGTTTTTCCACTTTCAGCACAAATTTATGACGATGCAGCCCATATAGCGGCCGGTACAGTTTTGCCTCTGAAATCCCTCCCTCCTTGTCTGCCTCTCCTCGTTCCCTCGTTCCTCTCGTCGCTCCGGCGTTTGGTGCAGGAGCACCGTCAGAAGCCCATGAATTATTCTCACGGCTCTGCCCGTGGGAAAATACGAGAGTTGCGCCAGTAGGCATCGTAAATGCGACTGCTAATTGCGCTCGTCGACGACGGCGACGACCGCTCTCCGGCCAACTAGCTTCGCTGAATATCGCATTCTTTCATGACCACCTCTCCCCGTTTTATTTTCGATGTTTTTGTCTTGGATTCGGGACATCCTTCATCCGTCGCGAGCGCCTTTGTCTCGATTGTTAACGTTTCATACGCGAAAGAGTCGCAATTCTTGACCGAAGATTCTAAATCTGTGACTCGAGACATTTTTATCGAATTATATTTCCATGAAATATCCTCGATTGTTATCGAAGGCGAAATTAGTTTAATTAGGATGAAGTCAAAATGCCTCCATTACGGTGTCTATTAGATCGCTCCGGATTTGACATTCAATTTTATATCGTCCACGGAAGCGAATTCCCGCGTTTGGTCCAACGCCAATCTCCAAGGCTCTTAAAATTATTAGGTGTCAATTGCTCTCGTTATGTAGTTTATTTTTCGCCGGACTGCGGCGCAATAACGAAATCTTTTGGTGGACCCTAATGCAACGATTTATCGCACCGAACGATGCGGCGAAAAACCGTGACCTAGATGGATGTGACGGTTATATATCGAGTGACATTGAATTAATAATCGCGTACTTTCGCGCGTGATCGAGTTGTTCGTACGGAACGGTGATCGAATGCATTTTTGAAGGGACTTTGCAACACTTTGTCGTGCAATATACGTCTGAATGTTTCCCTCAACTGTCATCGCTACGTGACCTGGGCGTCGGATCGATCGTGGTTTAGCCATAATGTCGGAGTTTGCAGCGAGTCGGTTATTGAGAACATGAAAATGTCAATCGCGGAACATGCGTACATTACGCATTGATTACACATTGATTAGTGATACTCGTGCAATAAATTACATTCACGGAGAGACTCGGCGGGAATGAAACAGCACGAGAAACAATGACGTGC